AGAACCTATAGAGGCTCTTACAAGATCAAAATTACACTATGGTAGGGTCTATCTCCAATTTTTACTTAGGATGCTTCAAAACACTGCCATAAGACTGTGTATCAGAGCTTTCAGAACTAGTCCCGTAAAAAGCTTGTACTGTGAAATTAATAATCCCCTTTTTGGCTTAGATGACAGTACTCTCTTCTTTCTTGTGCTACTGGTATCTCTGCCAATCCTTAAAACCTTATTTTTTTAATGTTGGTTTCAAAGAATAACACCTTCCCCAATATTAATTCTCCTGTTTTCCCAATTCCATTAAAATCCTTACTCGGTGATATTGATCTCACTCAAACCATGCCTTTGCCCATTTCTGGTCTCCTCCTTGGTCAAAAGAAATTACCTTAACTTAATACCTCACTTAGTCAAGTCAATAAAAGTAACACCCAGAAGAAATGTTTACGGAAATAATTTATAACAACAAATTCAAAAGAATTTTATTCACATATGATTCTAAAGATAAATCCGTTGTAGGGTGTTCTATCGCTCCAAATGATGGATTCTAGAAATGCTTTTTCAAGCAGTATTCATACTGGAGAACTTGATGGGATTCTCCAGGCTTTCAAATTATTAACTCCAGAGGATATCCACGTCGCTATATGTACAGACTTCCTCTATTTAATCTAGTCTATTAAAAATATTTATACTCAACAACCCTTGTTTCAAAAAATACACGATGAGGAAGCTGATTGTGTCGCGACAGAAGCTATTTAGATGAGTCTACTATCAGAAAATATCTAAAGATTTAAAATCTAAAAGATGTATACCGCGAAAAGGTTCGAAATCAGTGGGAGAATCAGTTGGGTATTTTAATCAGTTTAAAATTTCGGGAAATTTAGCCAATTCTGCACCATTTCGAAATGTCCTCTTTGTCTAAGAAACAAAAAATACGTTTATTAAAAGACTGAGAATTGGACACACCAGATTGATCTAAACTCTGATATTGACTGTCTGATTTTGAGTGAAACTTAGGATACACTTGATTTAAGCATTAATAGCTATTGCATGATATGCAGTGAAAGTCATTACAATCAGAATGATGGGGAAGTAGTTGCCTATATTAAATCGTGTCATATCTTCACTCAAGAAAAAGTTAAGATAACAAATTATATAAAGACCCTGCAAATAAAAATTCATCTAGGCTTTCTACAGATCACAAAATTCTAGTTTCCAGGAATTTACTACAAATTTAAATGAGTATTTTGAAAAACATGATGATAGCAACGCAGATGTATGTTTATTTTTAGGTGATATCAATATTGACTTAGATACTAAAATATGATGATAAAAATACTGTGGAATATCTTAATACTTTAAATGAATTTGGGTACACTAGTGCAATAAACGAACCTACTAGGACACAAGGCAATAGCAGAACATGAATTGACCATATCTTCATTGAGACTAAAAATTTTGATTTAACCGAAAATTATTCCTATTGTACAACAACGTTACTGCAGATAGTGTTGTCCCAAAATTTTATAAAAAAAACCAACAATAATTTCAAAAAATTTATTAATAAACCAAAACTTCTTAACAAATTTAAAAATAATACATGGGAGAAGGTTTACTCTACTTCCACTCCTGACACAGCAACAACAACATTTATTGACATTGTTTCAGAAGAACTGGATGTCTGCACAGAAAAAGAACGTATTCTTAGAAGCAATACCAAAATAGTACCCTGGGTCACAAACGATCTATCAATAGGAAAAATATTCTGTTATAGCTAAACAATGTTGAGTTAAAAAACGAATACAAAAATTATCGCAATAAATTAACTTCTTTAATAAATAAAAAAAAATTAATTACTATAAAAAAAAAATCAAACAAATTCAAAAAATCTCTGGAATATTGTGCAGCAAATATCAAAAACCAAAAAACAAAAAAAGATTATTAACAGAATTAAATATCTTGACACTGGTGAGATTTTAATTGAAAATAATCAAACATCAAATGCCTTCAACAATACTTTTGTTTCAACGAATGAAAAACTTGCTGCTTAAATAAATAATAACGTTAATATGGAATTTAATAGAGTATCACGTCCGAATTTAATTGTTTTTGAACCTGTAACTACAATTGAAGTTAAAAACACATTTATGGCTCTTAAAAATAATAAATCTGTAGGATAGGACAAATTGTAGACAGAACATTTAAAATTAATATCAGATTTTATAATAGTTTCTCTTGTTTATATTCTTAACAAATGTGTAGATCTTGGTGTGTACCCCTCTGCGTTTAAAAAATCAATTGTACCAGTATGTAGGAAAAGAGAAATAACCGAAATTATAAATTACCGGCAATTGTCAGCTTCTCAGTCATCTTCCAAAAATTTTTGAGAAAATTATTAAAAAGAGGCTTACATATTACTTAAATAAATTTAATATACTTTCAAGTTATCAGTTTGGATTTAGGGAGAACATCTCCACGGATTCTTTCATTAACATCAAAAGTTACCAAAGCTTTAAATGAGGGTACGCTATTACTCTGCATATTTAATGATTTGTCAAAAGCTTTTGATACTGTCAGTTATCATCTACTGTTACAATCTCTAGAAGATATTGGTATAAGAGGCTATACTCTGCAATTATTTAAAAGATGATGTACTGAGCAGTGAAAACGTGATTGACTGTGGAGTACCTCAAGAATCCGTGTTGAGGCCCACATTATTTAATATATACATAAATGGTTTATTCTCATTAAGTGGAAATGGAAATGGAAATGGAAACATTGTCGATTTTGCAGATGATACTGCTAATGTTGATTAAATTTTGATAAGCTAACAATAAGAACGAATACTCCATTTGATACAAAATTTACAACAAAAATAAAATATTTGGGGATAATTATGGATTTACATCTAAAATGGGATCTACACATAAGGAATACAGTAAATAAGTTAAGGACAATTTTACATAAATTTAAAAAACTCAAAGATATGTTAGCAATACCTTATATTAAAACGTTATACTACTCTTTAGTGAAAAGGCTCGTTATGAAATAGTGGTATGGGGAGTTTTAAGTGAGTTAAAAAAAATTCTCTGTAAGTTATATACAAAAGCGTTTTCTAAAACTTATATTCTGTAATAACAGTAGATATTCCTTCGAAAGTCTCTACTTTGAAACCCAAATTTTAGATATAAGACAAATTTATGTTTCATTCACAACAATTAAATATAACGTAAGTAAACATTCATCACTGCTTTCATCTCATCAATACGAAACTCGTCAAAGACACTATTATACGGTTCCAGTGATGTTCAAAACAGTATATCAAAGATCCTGCGACTATTATGCTCCAAAACTATACAATTCTATTCCTGAGAATCTAAAATCCTTGAGAAATAAAGACAGGTTTAAAAAGGAGTTAAAAAAGTAGGTATCTTCTTTAAAGTCAGCGAAAAGATTTGTTAACAATGTTCAATTAAACTAAAAACTAATTTATTGTTTTCAATCATAGTTTTCTTCTTTACTTATTTATTTATTAGTTTTTTTTTGGTACCGTTATATATCATGTCCAAATTTAATCTTGATTATTGTTACTACTGTTAGTGTTGATATTGTTGTTGTTATTATTATTATTATTATTATTATTTATAAATATGGTCTCATTGGCATCAACTACTTAGGTTATTAGCCTCTTGTTCTGTGTAGAGTTTATTACTCTTTCCCAATGCAACTTTAGGGACAGCACTATTAATTAGAAACCCAACAGTAGGTATTACTATTATCGTCATTATTATATTTTATGTCTCATAAGCGAAACAAGTACCTCTGTACTTATTTTATTTTTCCTAACTTTGCCAATATAATGTGCATTGTTTTATATTGTTATTACACTTAAATTTTGTGCCAATAAAGTTATTATTATTAAAATTATAAACATTTGCTTTCTGCAACAGCGTTTACTTTAAAACTAAACGGGCTAAGAATGACATTAGTATTCTTAAATATGCTAGTGAATTTAAAAAACTGTTTAATTTTTTAAACGATGTGAATTTATTGAATCAAATAAGCCTAAATTAGTTCCCTTTACCCTACAGTTTTGTGAATTAGGTTCTTCTTCTATAAATTTTAAGCTATTGCATAGCTTTTATCGCGGGCTTTGAGCGCGGCGACCGAATCAAGAAATTCCGTAACCAAAATAAACCTAACACCCCCCACTCCGACCGGCACAGCGGTGCGGCGTTGAAAGCCGTGCATCGTCTAACGTCGTTTCAGTATATTGCACACGTTAGCGATGTTAATGTTAGGCGCTTATTTGTTGGAGATATTTGTGCGTGCTTATGCAAACTTAGAAATGGCCTACAAATAGTCATGGTAGCAATTTACATTTCTCCGAATCCAAAATTGGACGAGGTAGAGCACTTTATTCATCGCACTTTACTGGAGTACACTAAAGAAGGGTCGAAAATACTTGGTACAAATGGTAATAAATGTCCATTTATCTTTTCTAGGACATTCTTTTTTTTTTAGGAACTCGGTATAAGGACAAGGGGTTTATTATTAAAGTAATTGATGATCCCTGTCATCACCGTTGCCCTTTATTCACTTTTTGAAAATGTGGCAACCCTAGTAAAAATCCTTGTACTATTATAATATAATAATAGTACCTGATGCAGAGACACTTTAATTTCAATAAAAAAAAGTCTTAGGCGTTTAATAAAAATATTTCTACAAGTTTATAACAAAGCTATAATTTTTTATCTTAAAGGGTTCTTATTAGCTAGGTTATCCAATACACGTTCTGTAAACAGTACTTACTTTCTATTTTCGGTGAACTCTATTACAGAAAGTTCCATTTAAATTTGTTATGATTTTAGAAACAAACATAAAGATAACAATTTTATTGTAACTGTGCAATGAACCATCTACCTTTACTCAATACTATTAAAACACGCAATAAAGAAATAAATAAATAATTTATTAACCAAAATTAAATAACAAAAATAAAAGTTTTATGCTGGTTTATACCCAGGCTGCAGTCCCACCGGTAACGGCAGATCATAACTTCTTCCATGTCCTCCATGGTGATAGTCTTCATGCCCAGAAGAATGAGAACTAGAATGAGTATATACAGGCTTAGAAACAACTTCGTAAGTCGTTTTTTCTTCACCGCCGGTTAGGGATTTAAGACCAAGAATGGCAGATAACACCAAAGAAATCAGACCGGTCATCAAAGCTTTACCAGCCAGAGCTGCTAAAGCTCCTAAAGCTAGTGCGAAGTAGGTACTCTTTAACATAGCAGCTGCAGCTAAAATACCTCCCATACCACCTGATTTCTTCTTTTTACGTCCAGTTACAACGTTTTCATCTTCAGCTGCTAAATTTAATTTAACAGAATGACTATTTAGGAAACCTTTCACTTTCTGCATCAGAAAACCATCCAATCTTGCATTTGGATCGTTTGGAAATTCACGACCAAGATCTGCTACCATATCGGCTATGTTAGCCCTAGCACTCACGTTTTCTCGCACTATAGACACACCTGGTATAACGTCGATGTTTTGTTTTTCGCTTAATCCATCCACCCAGCCGACTATATCCAGTTTCAAGCATGTTGCGGTGTAGGAATTATCACAGTTTTTTCCGAACGATTTATTGAAATCACTTTTTTGATTTTCAGCGGCAAAAGCAATAGTTAAAAGCGTGAGACAGAGCGTATATCGAGAGAACCACATTTTGGTAATTAACTGTGGGCTAAGACTAAGGTGAATGTGAATCGAATTTCTTTTTATATTGGAGAGCATCTAGATTAAAAAAAATGAGAGTGATAACTAGATAAAGCCCTCAGGGCTGGATTTAATGTCGTGGGCAAATGATGTTTCGAAATAAAATGTTAAATAGATATATAAATTTCTGTCGTTTTGATGAATGTTTAAAATGTTTTTATTAATCACAGAAAGGATGTTGTTTTAATTAGATAAATTATAAATATTTCGTATGTTCTGAAACAAAATTTCAAACAACTAATAATGTTATGGATTAGGTACTAGTTTTTATTTTTAGTTTTTATATAAATCAATAGTATTTCTGAATTTGTATTATTATAACTGTGTCTATAGGGTCATTAAATATTTCAACTTATGATCTTCAAATCAGTGCCTTTAGGGCTTCAAATAAACCAAAGATCACTGTAAATAAAATTTCGATTGTAAGGGCTGCATCATAAAATAATTCGTATTTATTATATAACAAATATATAAAAAAGTTAGTGGAGAGTTTCTGGATGTAAGTTAGAAAAGGTGCTTCCGCAAAAATACTCGCTTTTCAACATTGAATCCATTATAAAACCGAAATTTCTCGAATTGGGTTAACGTTCCCCTGAGAGTAACTCAAAAAATAAAATCATATATTCCAGAAATGTCTCGAAATGTCATTCCTTGTCAAAGAAAAGTCCGGATTGTTCGAGAAGGTTCTAGAAGGTCGAGACAAGCTAGATAAGTCGACGACCTGACGTCAGAGTTCAGTTTTATGATAGATGTTAAACGTTAATGTTATCAGTTGGATAGTTATTGTTAAAGTTCAATTGTAGTTATTGTAAAAGTTGAATTAAAATAAATTGTGATACCAAAAACCTGCGTAACAATATACATTTTGTCTGGGACTCCATATCTCAGATGCATATTCAAGTTTCGATCGAACCAACCTGTTATGTAAGATTTTTAATGTAGACGTATCTGAGAATTCTTTGCAACTTCTTATGACAAACCATAGTGTTTTATTGGCAGATGACACCATTGATTCAATGTGTTTAGTGAAAGTAAGTTCAGGATCAAAATATACCCCCAGATCTCTTACAAACTCAGGCCTATTGAGAATAATAATAATAATACTCTCCCTAATTCACCCCCTTACGAATGAATTATAACCCCAAAAGCTGAACTTGTGCGGGGAAAGGGACGGCTATTATTATTATTTGCCGTGGCGCTCCGGGGCGACTTAAAGATGATTGATGGTGTCATTTGACTTACAGGTGAGGAAAACCCGGAAAACCTCACCCACCATCATCGAGACGGTAATGCATGGCGATTTTATAATCTGCATGTCATATCAACAGAAATTGAATTTCTATTAATACGGCACACATCAAATCCTAAACCGAACTATTCAATTTAATTAAAAATCCACATAGTCTGGTCTGGGAATAATATCATGTAATCTATAATTTAAAGTGAAAGCAGTTAATCGCCTGCTATAGGACATAACCGAACATTTTTCTGGATTCAATGGATGTAAACTATCCTGACACCAATCCACTATACCATCTAGACACTTTTATAAAAGTTTGCAGTTATTCGTTGAACGAACTTCCACCAATAATTTTAGATCATCTACATACATTAAGACCTTTATATCATTGATGTTTAAAACAATATCATTCAAAAATATATTAAATAAAAGAGGCCCCAAAATTGATCCCTGTGGTACTCCTGATAACTGCTGAAATTTTTCTGACTTACTGATGTCTTTCTTGTAAGTAAGAAGTTAACAGCAGATGTAGCTCCCCCAGGCAGCACACATTGGTATAACTAACGTATTTTATACGTAATACTCGTTTAATTTTGGTATTGGTTGATTCCGTATACGTTTACAGTTTACGATTATTATACATGCCGTATTTTAAAAGATATATTATACGTTTTTTGTATACATCCTATGGTATATAATTGTAAATTTTTCTACGTTTAAATGTAGTTAACAATATACGACTATTTTTAGTTTGCGATGAACTATTTATATACAGTGGGTCTAAATATACGTTTAGGTTTATTTAAATTAAATTCGTATAAATTTACATAATATTACAATATGTGTTCTTCGTTTATAACTCCCGTTTAAATTTCGTCTTGGTTGATTTTTTAAACGTTTACCATCTACCATTTTTATACTTTACGTTTTTTAACAGATAAATTAAACGCTTTTGTTTGTGGATACTAGTTAATATACCTATATTATTCTATTAAATATAAGTCACCTTAAACGCATATTACCAGTTTACGATGAACTAGTAGACATAAGTAAATAATATGTATATATTTAGATTTATTTAAATTAGAAGCTTATAGATATATTTATTTACATTACACCATATTTTTTTAATTATATTACCTGTAATATTTATAACAAATTCCCCATTGTACCGATTTCAAACACCCGAACATTTAAATAACCCGCCAATAACAATGGTGGGGTGGACTAGTCCATGTCGTTTCAGTGAGTGAGATTCGGGGTGTGCTTTAAGATAAGTCGGGCTGGTCCAAAGTGCGCGTAGTGCATAGAATCGAGAGGGGAGTAAGCTACCGGCAGACGATCGGGAATCAGCTGGCTGATGGTGGCTGATGGTGGCTGGTGGCTGTGAAGGGATCGCTATCAATCAAACGATTCACGCTATTATAAGTTATATTTCTGTTAACTAGTTGCTAACCAAAATAATTGTTTTTTATGTAATAAAAAGTTCTTGTAAAATTGTTGGTGTTGTTGTGCCCATTTGCATTGCATGTTGCTTTGGCGTCCTGGCTTTTACGATATTGGTTACAAGCATAGGTAAGTTTCTATTAATGTTTTAATTTAGCTACTCGTTTAATAATTGTTGCATTTTACAACAACTACTGTTTTATTACAGTGTGTGCTTATAGAATCTCCAAAACATAACCTTACGTTTGTTTCTCGTATTTTTATACGTATTTTTTAGGCTACCTAGTTATTCCAAGCATACTTATTTTCCTTTGTTTTGGTCAGTTGTTTTTTATTTAATAAAATGTCTAAAATAACCCTGTCTCGGCGTTATTTACTAAGAAAAATAGCACAAAATGTTCAAGATGCTTTAAAGTCAAATCAATCTTTTTTTATTCCCAGTGAAGATAACATTAATAAGGCTTTGGACATTAATATATCATCTGATTCTATTATTTATAATAATTTCCTAGAAAGTAATAAAAATTTAACTTTGGAGCTTTTAGAAAATATTTCACCTGAAATGCAGTTAAATTTTGTTTATAGGAATGGAGGTGAACCAAGAGACTTAACCGACCAAACGATTAGAAGTGCTATGCAAGATTGGCTTAAGTTAGCTAAGGCCTGTCTAGGATACAACACATCCAAAGTGTTAAGCTAAGATTTTAATTTTCATATATATTTTTTGTTACTTAAAGAAAAGTTTCGTTTAGTTTGTTATTCAGTATTTTAGTGTTTATTTTTTAGTATTTTATTGTTTTTTTTTTTTTTTTTTTAATAAAATATTGTTCTGTACATATATCAAGAACAAGTGATCAAAAAAATTTCCTAAATATTTAGACCAATTACAACCAAAATAGAAACACGAGTAATACCTATTTCTAGTGTATACACACCTGCTATGGATAAAATCCAAACTGTCATTTAAGAAATATTAACATTTTTCCATGGCCTCTTTTAGAAATTTTGTTTTGATCACTTTATTTAATTTGTATTTGAAATATATTTAAAATAATATCAGGTAGACGCATTTTACACATTAATAAAATAAGATACATCTAATATAGACGTATAGTAAAACAGGATAATAAAAGGTAGATAAAGTAGTAATGTTAGACGTATAAAAAATAAAAAAAATATACGTTTATAGGGCGGACATTTTCACGTACATATTAGGTAGCATATCAACGGTATCCATACGTACATTGTAGTACATAAAAAAACGTCTTTTATACCAAAGTGGCTTCGTATAAATATACTACAAATATAAATCTAATATAGACGTATAGTAAAAACGTTTAATTATATGTGGATAAATTCTTAGTAATCGACGTTTATAAGGCGGACATTTTCACGAATATATTTGGTAGTACATCAACCGTATTCATACGTATGGTAGTACCTAAAAAAAAACGTAATTTATACCAAAGTGTGCTGCCTGGGCCGTGCTTAAACCTATGGAGGAAAGTTTTTTTAGTAAGATGGTATGGTTAATTCTGTCGAAAGCTTTAGAAAAATCAGTGTATATTACATCTATTTGACTCTTTCTATCTAGGGCCTCTGATATAAACTGTCTGGAACAAATAAGAATTGTTAGCGTGGATCTGCGTTTCATGAATCCGTGTTGATCTGAGGATATACTCGTAGATCGGGAGATATGATTTGATAAATGTTCATGAAAAACGAATTCTAATATCTTAGCAAAGTTACATATTATACTAATAGGTCTATAATTTTGAACTTGATTTTTACTGCCTTTTTTATGTACTGGAGTTATATTAGAATTTTATTAAAAATTGTATGTAGAGGAGTTGCAAAAATGTATGCACAATCTTTAATAATAAAGGCAGGTAGCAGGTCAGGCCCCATTGTCATATTTGGTTTCAATTTTTTAGTAGCCTTGACAATTTCGTCTTGTGATATTGATTTTTTGTATAGCGTCGGAGTCGAAATTAATTCATTTGCGTAGTTGGTAGATGCTGACTGAGAAGAACTATTAAAGAAATGATCTGATAAGCCTGGACGATTGCTTGTAGGTCTTCGATAAAGCAGTTGTTATACTGATGTGGGTATGGAGAATGCGTTTTATTTGTCGCTTATTTGTGTAGAGATTCAAACCATTTAGTATTTTTTTAATAAATTTACTAGCTGCTGTATTGGAATCTTCTACCGCATACACTAGAGATCAATTTATGTATTTAAAAATATTATGTATTTTATGTCT